TTAAACTTCTATGACAAAGACCTTTTTTTTTTTTTTATTCTTTAGGCTCCATTTGGCTTTGCTGGACCAGTTCCCCCAGCTCACATAGGTCAGAGACCTTACATGATGGAGCAGCAGGGTCTCCCAAGCTCCCATCACTCCCTGCACTTCCCTAACAGTGCTTTCAAGAGCAGTCTGGAGATGCGCAACACTAAGTCTCCATCCATACCCCCACAGACGTCTTTGAAACTTGGCTCTGAGACCAGAACTCCACCTGTGACTGCTGCCCCAGGAGCTATGCTGTATGCTGGGATAGTGTCATCACAGCCTATTTCACTGTCTCCAACATCAGCCAGTCCTGAAGGCCAGGTATTTAGAAAATTAAATAAAGGAATATCAAACAAATATTACATTCTATTATGTACTTGATGTAACATTGCTGCTAAGTGATTGTCTTAGATAAAATTACCTCTAGTTTGCCCTGTTTGTAACTGAAATTGGGAAATATTCCTCCTGAATAGTTTGAAGCAAAATAGTGTCAGAAGTCAAATAGTGTTTTTATGAGTTTTTGTTTTTGTTTTATCAGGTCATTGAAAGACATCCTAATCCCAACTCGCTGAGAGAAACAGGATGTCAGTCACCCCTCAGCCTACGCATGCATTCAGACCCCAGGTTTCTGAAAGGTACACTTCATTTCTATTCAGCCATCATAAAGCAAAACCTTTTTTTAATGTTTATGTTTACATTTTGATAACTAGAAATTTTTTTTCTTTATCTTAGATGATCTAGAAAACTCTGTGCAATCTTCAGTTCATGGTGAGCAAACATCAACCAGAGAAATGATGTTCTTGATGGAGCAACAAAGGCTGCGTCAGCATCTTCTTTTAGTGCAAGAGAATAACAGAACTGCTAATCCCGATCAGGGCCATCCTGCAGATGCCAGAAATTTGAGGCTAGCACATGATCAGGCCAGGAATACCCCTGTAGGACCGAATAGCGCCAGGAAGAGTTCGTTATCATCTCAACCAGTTGGACTTAATCAACCACTGAATTTGGCAGATTCTGACAGTCGGGTTGATCCCTCACGGACTCCCAAATCAACCCCACCTGCTCCACAAAGCCCATTTTCCTTACCATATCTCGATAGAAAAGTGGAACCTGGTCGCATGCAGGTTGGAGTAACTAGTGCCTTCATGCAGCCGAGCTCAAGTGGTGCCTGTGAAGCCATTGCTCACATGTATCCTGAGATCCCTCTTGGATTGGCTACCCAGTTTAATTTAGTTGGACGTCTATATGGCCCTGGGCACCAGGCACAATCTCACCTGCTGAGGGAAAATGTCATGCAAAGTCATTTCCCTCCTTTTGCAGCTGGGCCAAGATTCCAAGTGCTGGAGCCATACGACAAAAAGGGAGAACCAGGACATCAAGACCAAGCCAGAGGCCTTCTGGGATCACCATCACCTAATCCAATGCTTAGCCGGCAGGCTGATCTTCTCCTAATGAAACAACGCATGCCCCATGAACTGCAAACAAACAGCCCAGTGGGATTTTTGCAGGTAAAACATTTAGTGTCCCTATCATTCTATTTTCTTGTGTATTTATTGGCAATAAAACTATCTGAGCTTTTTGGTCTTTTGCAGGGTTTATTAATAATCAATAAAACTATCTGAGCTTCTTGCTAGCTTTATTAGTAATCCTAAAGATTGATATTCTCACAACTTTTTTTTTCTCTCTTGGGTAATGTTGGAGGGAGTTTCCATTTATTTGATTACACTTGTCATGGATAGCTGCTTTCCCTATTTCTTCTTTAATTGGCAATCAAGATTTTCTAATATTATTAATTTATGTTTTCAGCGCTATCCAGTTATGTGGCAAGGGGCTTTGGCACTTAAAAATGATAATAGTTATGTACAAATGCATTTTATTGCTGGCAACAGAAGGCTGCCTAATCAAGCGCTTCCACAACCTATGCAAAGTGGTGTGCTGCCGCCTCTACGTATCAGCCAGAGAATGAGGCTTGAACAAGCACAACTGGAAGGTGTATCTAAAAGGATGCAGGTAAGCTTCATTTTTAAAATAGTGAACCTAGCCACTTATCAAGCTTTACATAGTGAGAAAAAGACTTCCAAAAGTTTGATATGTAAGAACCATGACCATTATATCCCTCATTATGACAGACATAACTAATAGGACAGGCAGTTGTTTGTTTTGAACTTATCTTTAATCAACAAAGTAAAGTAAAGCTCCCATTTCAGACCTTGCTACCTCTTACATTGTATCATGAGAGTGTAGCACAAACACATTTAGCAGCAAACATTTAGAAGAACAAACTGGCATGCATCTGTACAAAATATTTTGAATCCTGTTTTTTCACTGCCTTGTGTTGACTATTATGTCCTTTTTAACTTTCTTGACTTTGAATTAATGAAATGTCTGCTTTATATTTTAGTGTGAGGAAGATTACTGTATCCTGATAGCTGTGGCTTGTGGCAGAGACCAATCAGACATTAGTGTCCAGACAAGAGCGTTAAGTGAAGGATTTATAACCTACCTACTCAACAAACAAGCTGCAGGCATTGTCAATGTTCCTTTACCAGGATCTGAACAGGTACCAGTCTATGAAGAATATTCATTTACTTTTGACTGATCTTAACCTTAAAAGTTTTTTTTGTACTATTTCTAATCAAAATAGAGTACACCCCCCCCCCCCCCCCCCAAAAAAAAAAAAAAAACTCTACTAGTAACTCTCTTTTCTCATAGCAACCAAAAATTAATTTATTTTAACTTTTCAATTTTTACACTTAAACTGGTACTGTGTGACAACACATTTATTCAAACTTTCTGAAAAATCACTTCATTACTGGATCCAAGGAAACTAGATTTAGATTAAATATCATTAACATCCCTTTGCATACCAGAAAAGTAGGATTTAATAAAAAAAAAAAAAATGACTTGATCTTTATTTTTTTCTAGGCTGGATTTGTGGTTCACATTTTCCCACCTTGTGACTTTGTGGATAATTCAGTCGCTGAACAAGGCAGTATCACTCTGATGGAGCAACTGAGAGAAGTGCCCCATGCTGTCATCATCATAGCTACCACCTGAACACCCCGACTAGACAAGTTGAGCCCAAGTGTTCAGGAAACAAGAATGTGCCCCCATGTTGTCATCCTTGTAGCTACCATCTGAACACCCTGATTAGACAAGTTGAGCCCAAGTGTTCAGGAAACAAGAATGTGCCCCCATGTTGTCATCCTTGTAGCTACCATCTGAACACCCTGATTAGACAAGTTGAGCCCAAGTGTTCAGGAAACAAGAATGTGCCCCCATGTTGTCATCATTGTAGCTAGGGCCAGAAAAGACTTTTACTTTTACCAAATCCATGGATTTACAAACATCAGGATTCCTTGCACCAGACACAATGGAACTCCATGCATCTCAATAACTTGGTTTCTATTCAGTGACTTTCAATGAAACAAAACAATGAATAAAGAACTTTTTTTAAAATATGGACTTTATAAGAGAAAAAAAAATACAAATTTTGGAATTAATATTTAATTCAATATTATTTAAATTTTGCTGTCAAGATCAGAAATTATTTTTACTTAATGTCATCTACAAACATGTACATTTCATGTTAACAAATACCATTACTATAATTAACATGTAATATGTTAATAAACCCAATTATAAAGTGAGTGACTTCCTGCCATTCCTAAGTGTCAGACTAGAGTGGCAGTGGACTTGTTTGCTGTACTGAAACTCTATTGTGATATCTTGTTTTACAGACTTGTGCATCCTGTTATGTTAGGTCATTATAATGTTTGGTTAATGTTGGGTCAGTTTGAATTAGGAACTTGGCACATTGCTAAAGATATCTAACTTCCCTCCCAGAGTGTACTTGGCAGGCGCTAGGGGCAGGGCTTCTCTAGCAATTTGGCAATGAACTAGTTGCAACTGAAGTCATATTTCTAATTGGAATGTTTGTTTCAGTTCCCTAATCATTGTGATCTTTTTTTTTTTGTCTTTATTTTGTACATAAGTATTAAAATCACTTTAGGATGTGTTAACTAATAAAAAAGAAAAAAAATACTATCAAACAAAAGTCTGAAAACTATTCAACACTTGCCTATTATGAATCAATTAGTGAGTGTCCACTGAGTTGAGGTTCCTTCAGTCTTCAATTACCCCAATTAATTGGGTATTAAGAAAGTTGTTTTTTTTTTGGGCAGGGTGGAATTTTTTAAAACAAGTTTTTCATGAGTTGGAACATTCTACATGTAACATGTATTTAATTACAGCTGATTTTCTCAGCATAGGTAAATTGTCTTGCAGTTGAATGTATATTGTATATAAGACTTTAGAAATGGCCAACTCCCTGTCTTATGCTATATGTTGGTCTCACTTTGTGTCGGTGTAATTGTTAGGCTAGGAGAAAGTTGACTCATTTTTTTGTGGTCATGTAAATAAAATGTTTAAATTCTAATTTGTACAGAATGCATATTTGATGTCTTGTATGTAGTTTCTATACATATGTACATAGACCTAAAGATAAGATATACTATGTGCACACACTATATACATAGTGTAGACATATTTATATATATATAGTCATGTCATCCCCTGCCATGAGCTGGCTCTTTCAAACAGAGAGCACATTAAGTCTGCTGATGTTCATATAACACACCCACACACCACAACCACACCTAAAAATGTTCTCTCTGTGTAGTCAGGATCATTCTTGTCAAGTCTTAAATCTTGCTTAATCTTAACTGTTGTCTTTTCTGCTTGTCGTCACCCGTCGCTGTGGTTCCGTGTGTCAGTCCAACCAGCTCCTGCATTACATTTTTTTGTTCAGATTTATCAAAACCAAAAACTATTCACATTGGTTCTAAGTTGTATTTCAGAGAGAACTACCAGTGGATATTACATTTGGTTTAGACTTAGGATTGTTTTAATTTGATACATTTACAAAGTCAATGGCATACAGTTTGTTATTGTCATTGGTTGTATGATGATCTATTTAATGTTATGTGTTAGAAAATCTATAAGAAATAAAAATAAGATGAAAATAATTACAAACCCATTGACCATTTTGTTTAGTCTGTATTTTCATACATACATGTTTTGTGAGATGAAGTTACTAGTTCTACAGTCAACTCCAAATATTGAAGTTTTCTAGTTCTGCAGCCTACTCCAAATATTTACACTTAAGTTCACACATGTACATGTTTGAAAGGCTACCAAAATCAAATATAGAAAATGGTTAACATAGTTTGAACTTAAATACAAGACATTAAAATGTAAAAACTGGGTCAAAAGATACAGGCTTAATGTAATCTCTAATTGGAGTGAAGTTTTGTACTAAACATAATATATGTTCATTCCTAGAGGCAGCAGTACAAATTGACTGAATGGCAGATTTGAGTGCTTGATAACATCCCATTTATGGCACAGAGTGCTACACTAAAGGTTAATACATTGTCATTCAGGAAATGGTCTTTCTCCTTATGAAGAACAAAAAAATCAAAACCTGTATCCTAAATCTTTTAATATTAAGAGAGGAAAAAACTAGGCCATTTAATCAATTGGAAACAACTCAATTTTTTTTTTTTTTTAATTACTGAATTAGTTGGAATAGAAAAATGGATGATACTGCTATGGTCAAAGTGTGTAACTGGCAAGCAGCAGGAATGTCTGTTTTTTTTTTTTTTTTTTTTTTTTTTGTTGAACTGTCATGATCTCAATATGTGTCAGTTTCTTTTGGCTTTGATTTAAAAAAAAAATGAAATGCTGTATATACAATTGTTCATTCTTGACAAAAGGTGGCTCAGAGTCTCTCTCTCCATGTTCAGTTCAAAAACATTTACCAGTATGTCCTTATGTGGATAAAGAAAATAATTAAAAAATGAACAACAGAGTGAATCATGAAAGCTCCTATATTGTTTCATCATATATTTTGTTTACATTGGGGACTTCAAACATTCAAATGACTACTGCTAAGTTAATAAATGCTGAGACTTAGGTTATTTTCTCTGATGGTTATGAGGTAGTTCCACATGCAGTATTTGAAACAAACTGTAGATCTGTTGTAATGCTAGCAAATTTGAAATTAAAACTAGTGGGGAAAAAAAAGTTTATTAAAATAATTAATGGGAACTAATGACATTTTCGAGAATCCAATCTGAGCTACCTTTTGCCTATTGTCATTGATTGACCTTTTGAGTCAAAGGTCATGGTTAAAAGAACTTATTGCTCAACGGGTCACTTCGAATGTATCGCTTGTGTATTGGTTTCATGCAGATTGTATTAGTGATGTTTGTTGTTGACTCTGAACCTAAACCTTTGTTTATTGAACAAGTAGAAAGTTAATACATTAAATAAAAATCACTATATATATATATATATATATATTATAAATATATAAATAAAGATATAAATATTATATAATTGTATATTTAATTCATTGGATTCTATGCTCCCAGATGTGTTTTTTTTGGTGTCATTCTGTGCGTAAGGACTTTTACCTCACTCTTGGAATTGTGGGATGGATATTTGTATTTAATGTATGAATGGAACAGAGCAGCTGTTGGAGGTGTGCCTGCACCACACACACACACACACACACACAGAGTCCAGCTCTACTGCTAATAGTTTTGTTTTTGTTTTCACATTTGATTTTTTTAAAAAGTTTTCTTGTTTCTTTAACTAGATCATTCACTTTGTAGAACACAGCAAATATTTGTTATACTTTACACACAGCTGAGATTTGAAAGAAAAACAAAACACTGGATTATCTAGACCTAAACATTATTATATATATATATATATTTTTTTTTAAATTTATTTTATTTTTTTTTAAATTTTCAATTTCACTTGAACTATAGAAGTAGAGTTGAGACTAATAAAAGAAGCCTGTCTAATTTCTTTGACAACCAAACTTGGCCAGTGTGGCTAATGCTAGGGTTGATCATGGGGTACAACTACTGAATTAGCACTTTCTACTTCTACATCATTGATAGTAACATTTCTTGCAGGGTATAAAAACATTTTGTTTGTTTTAACCCAATTCTATAAGTGACCAATAAAGTTTGTTTGGCTCGACTCTTTTTGTCTTCCGTAGAATATGTTATGTGTTTAAATGAAGCTCTTAGATCCACCAGTCTAGTCAACAAACAAATGTTACTCAACTGACTTTACAATGTACTTCATATAAAGTCAGGTCAATATGCACTATAGGAGTACTGCATAGAACCTCAATAGTATCATTAGACAACAGTACAGGTCTGGATATAAATGAACAAACAAAAAAATATTTGAATTGTTACTTTTTTGTTCAGTGCTTGTTTGGGCTTGTGAAAGAACATTTTTGTGTGTGTAAATACATTTAATTTGAACTCATGTGATATGTTCAATGTGAAATAAACTTGTATAATAAATACAAAGATCTTTGTTGCTTTGTTTCCTGGTATTTCACTGTGTACTTTGTAGAACCTGTACTATCAGAAATAAAAATTCAATTCTATAGTTGAAGTTAAACATCTATGTTGATTAGACTGGAAAAGATTTCAGGTAAAAATACATCAAACTAATTATTTGAAAGATATTAGTTTTAACATTTCAAGATTTCAAATTGCATAGAACTCTTTAAAAAAAAAAAGATCAGGGTAAGTACCGAGCCAAGCAACTCAGGTGCTCATTAGAAGACCTCCAACATTTTGTTTTTCAACCTATTTTCAAGAACATGCAAAGTCTCTGCTCTTTCGGGGGTGTTCTCACTAACACTTGGCTTTGTCAATTTTTTCAGCTGTTGATTCGAATTTGTCACCTTGATGAAATATTGGCTAATTATTGCTGCACAGAATTGGTCAACTTGAAACATTGGCTAATTAGTGCTGCACAGAATTGGTCAACTTGAAACATTGGCTAATTAGTGCTGCACAGAATCGGTCAACTTGAAACATTGGCTAATTAGTGCTGCACAGAAATGGTCAACTTGAAACATTGGCTAATTAGTGCCGAACAGAATTGATCAACTCATGGAAGCATTGGTCAGTTAGGCAAAGAATGTTTATGATATCTAGTTACATGTCTTCTCCTTTGGTGAGTTGTCACAAATCGGACACTTTTTTGGCGAGAAGGAACTTAATGGCGGTCCAAGTTTTAATGAATTCATTTTCTCAAATCGACCTTCTGAATAATTTAAAATTATTTTAATTTGACTGGTCTAATTGGGAGACTAAAAAAATACATTAGAAGATAATACTATTACATTTAAATTTATGTTAGACGCACCTATTGGATTCCTGATGTATTGTTGGCTTGTTTAAAATGGTAAAAAACGACTTAAAAAAGCTTTCAAAACCCTTTACCAAGCTAGGGGGCTCACTTTGGGGCAAAATATTTGATGTCTTGGTTCATTGGTATAGAAATCTGTATCATATTGGATAGATTAATTTATAACGTCTTTTCAGTTCTAACTGTGAAAGCAGACAATATACAGGCTAGAGACATTCCTGAATTTACTTTGTAAGTCATTTCAAAATTACCGCATTTTATTTGGGCTAGTATTTCCTAAGTTCTATTTTCGTTTATTACAATGAATGATTGAGAAAAGAAAATTTTTAAAATGCCCTAGGAGATTTATTAATTTTAAAAAATATTATAGAGTTAATAAACAAAAATGGCTCTAAAAAATATTTTTTTTGTTCTAATTATCTCCCTTACGTTAAAACAAACTATTAACGGCGAAAAAGAAAAAAAAATCCAAACATTTAAAAGACATTGATCTGAATAACTTTTATATTTTATTCATTAGATTTTAAAGCATTTAAAATTCATTAATAACAACAGCATATAGTAACTGTAAAATGTATATTGTAAGTTGCATAAGTACGGATTTTGCCAGAAAAAAAAATGGCAGAAAGGTCGGTAGGCCGACCACTCTGTTAGTCGTCATCCTCGACTTCCTCTTCTTCGGCGTCTTCGAACTCTAGCTGTGTGGCCGGAATGCTAACAAACTGACCAAGTCGGCCAAGGTCGAAGGTATGGAAGAGTTCCAGAGAGATTGGCTGATTGGCCTGAGGATGCCAACATGAAGTGCGTTATACATATAGATCTACACCTTTATTATTATTATTATATTTTAAAAAAATAAACAGACATTGTACTACAGCCAACAGCAGGTGTACGCGCTGGACACGGTGATCTCAATGAAGTCTTTTAACACACTCACACAAAAGGAGTGGTGATGATTGAGCTGCTGTTATGAGGAGATGCAAAAACGGATCCAGAACTTAGGAGGGGGGGGGGTCATCGCCCCTACCGCACCTGCCCCCCCTGGATCCGCCTGTGAGGAGATGGAATGAGAACTCCAAAAGAAGGGAGGGATATATGAAGAGAGCAACAAGTGATGAATAACCTCCCCTTGCATCTTTGAGGTCTGCTGGACATGTGAGGTAGAGGTCTGCAGGACATGTGAGTTAGAGGTCTGCAGGACATGTGAGGTAGAGATCGACAGGGCATTTGGAGTAGATATCTGCAGGGGATGTGTCGAGGTCTGCAGGACATGTGAGGTAGAGATCGGCATAGCATTTGGAGTAGATATCTGCAGGGCATATGTAGAGGTCTGCAGGGCATATGTAGAGATCTGTAGGGCATGTGGAGTAGAGTTCTGCAAGGCATTTTGTGTACAGATATCTGCAGGGCATGTGTATTTTACTGTTGAGGCTCGAACATTGGATTGTAGCTCCTATTACAAATGGTAATGTGAGGGCCGATCTAGATGGTCAATGGGGCCATTTAAAGGAAAATATAAAAATCTTTTTGCGTATTTTACATACGGACCTTTGCAGCAATTCCAAGCTGCCCTTTCGAAGCCGGGTTTTTGCCCCAATCCCCAGTGCCCATATAGCCAGTCCGCCTCTGATAACAACCGACAACTAAAGAGCTACAAACAGACAAAAACCTACACATTGCCAAGTACCTCAAACCTTTGTTTCAATTGTTGGGCGATCTTGTACTCTCTCAGTGTGGCGAATACATCATACAAACATTTGAATCTAGTTTTCGGTTTCCAGGATTCTGTCTGTTGGTACCAGTAGTCAATAATGGCTTTGGCCACACCAATTCTCTCTTGGTCTGTGGTATCGGGTTGAAGCAGACCCTTTGAAAAAAAAAAGAGAATATTGAACTAAAAAAGTGTTTTTATTTTTTACAAAAAAATTCTTTCATTGTTTATCTTTCTTTTAGTTCGTTATGACAATTATTTATTGTATCGGCTGTCGTTCTTGTGTTTACATGTGCATGTAGCTCGTCCATGTGTTTGCGAAATGCTAGAAATGTGTGTTGTGTAGTCCATTCAATGTATTAAAGTCGTACTATACGAACATGGTTTTCAACTCTATTATGTAATTATGCTCGTAACACAGTCTTTCTTGTATTTCATTATGACTGTGATATTCTGGTGACCAGACGTCACGATTTAGGCTGGCCAGTATCCCACCTTTGACCATTTGACCCGCTTTTAATAAAATGTTCCGTCGTGACACGTTTTCATTCAAAAATCAATGCCACGATTCTATGTAAAACAAAATCTGATTTACACATTGACAGATCTGTTGTTGAGACAACAAATGCTCAGCTACATTGGAACAAAGTTCTTTTTTTTTTTTTTTTTTTTTACAAAGTATAGGCCTACATTAACTCAGTCCGTCTGTTTGTCTGTCTGGAAGAAATTTTGTAGACGTTATTTCTCCAATTTACAAGTCTTGGATCAAGTTGAAACTTTGCGCAATTTATTCATTGTCCTTATCGAATAATTAATCAATTAAAAATAAACCAATTAAATCATTAATTTGTGGTAATTAATTAATTGTGTTTAATTAGAAAAGGGAGATGAATCATATAAACTGACATATTATGCTGCAAATGTACAGTTCTTTCCCTTATATAAGCCTTTTTATAAAAAGTATTTTATTAGCGGCCCCCGAAAGGGGAAAAGACGCTATTAGTTTTGTGTGGAATGTCTGTCCTTTCGTCCGTCCCGTTTAGATCTCATAAACTAGAAAAGTGAAAATCTTACACCATAACTTCAAAGTTCTGATGCAACGGATACTTTTTTCTTTTCTGAAAGCGAAAAAGCTAATTTTTTAAATCACTTATGCAAGCAGTTTTTTCATAAAAATACACCACTTTTACAGCTGTTCACTATTAATAGTAACAAACACGGTAGGCTCTTTAGAAGGGGAAATCCCTATGCACCATAATTTTTGCATATTTATGCAAATGGTTTTAGATTTTTGTCAAAAAAAGTTTTTTTTAAATTACATTTGTAATGATAAGTTATGTAAGTTCTGTCATACTAACTTGTCACAGTCTCGGTTGACATTGCCTGTTCACCTCGGGTTAAGAGGGTGAAAAGACACGTGAAACTCCTGATATAGAAACAGGAAGTAAGGATGACAAGTATCCTTTGGTCCAGGACAGTAGGTAGTATCTTTTTGTCCGGTCTGGACGGTAGTGACTTAAGAGAGTCAAGTAGTAACTTTGAGTTAAGTAGCATCTTTTGGGCAGTCGAAGCCAGTGATCGCTTGAGACAGTAGTTAATTTTTTGTATTATTGAAGTATTTGCTACCCACGGTGATGCGGATGTGATAATGTTTCGTATTGGATTATGTAACTGCCAAGGACTATTACATTTAGGCCTGCACACAAAAAAGTTTTCTTTTTATTAAAGAGAAAAAATCTATTTAGTATGCATATAAGTTGGACCTAATTTAAAACAACAATTAATAAGTAGTTTTTCATATTATCGCGTGAACTGCAGCGCTCCACTCTGAAAGTAGTACACTTAAAACTATTTGTTTTTGACGGATATGTTTTTTTCTTGAGGATTTGAATAAGAGATTGACCCTTTACAAAACAATTGGATCAATTAGATATCCATTATAAGACATCAGTTAAGCCAGGTTCACATCTAACTTCACATTCACTTTCACCTATCCTTTGATCTGCTGGACCGCTGGGGTACCACACAAGATTTGTCAACCTTCTTTCTCCATTCTTATCTGTCATTTCATTCAGATGTTCTTTCTGAAAATATTGAAACCTGCCTTTTTACCTGCCTGGTTGGACCACTTGGGGGGGGGGGGGGGGGCGATTTTGAGTTTGTGTTCTCACATGAACACTCTTTGTTACCTTGTTTTGCTTGTTTTTAATCTTTTTTTTTTTGTTTACGCTTCCAAAAATATCTGTTCACTTAAAACAAAAGTAGTAGGCCTATAGATCTAGAATTTTAGATGTAGATCTAGTTCCAATCTTACTTTAGGAGCGATTTTATA